AACTCCAACGGAAGGGATGTTTTTCATCCGTGCGCTAAATGCGGAATCTATTCGGATGCGGCGGCAGCTAAAAATAGCCGCAAATGGGGCCGGGGGATATTGCTTCCCCTCCACCTCCTCCCTCCGGCACGTCAGCGACACGCCGCGAGAACGCGCCTCCAGCTAGCCAGAAACATCCTTGCCGCCAAACGCGCCCGCGCGCTTGCTTCATGAAGGCGCTCAAGCGGAGAGGCTTTTCGAGGGGTCGGAGGCCACAAGTTGTGCGGCTGCAGACGAGGCCCGGCCGCTAAATCGCAAATCGCCGTCTTGCTCGCGGCGTTCGCTGGATCGACTGCTCCATCGAGACACTCGCGTGCACCTCATAGGGGTGCGCGCCGGCGCTCCAAGTGCACCCTTCCTGTTTGCAGTCATGCGTGTTTTTGGAATGCGGAGGACCCGGAGAAAAGCCACGCGGGCCCGGGGAGAACGTGCCAACTCCACACAGGGAGTCTGAAGCGGGGATTGAACCCAAGACCTCTGCACTGTGAGGTCGGTCGACGCGCTAACCACTGGCCCACCGGGCCGCCCTGTCGGGTGTTATCTTGAGCCAATTGTTTGTTGGTCTACTTCCAAAAGCAAAATTTTCATCCAACCCAAGTAAGCTCGCTTTCAAATGAAAAGACGTTTTTTGTTCGGAAGCGTTCCTTCGCTGTTAGGCCGAAAAACGTTTTTCCTGTTTTTGTGAGCTTCCAGAAAAACCCTCACATGCCACAAGCGGGCGCCAAAAGCAGCGCTTTTGGATGAAATCGGGTCACCTGACCTGCTTCGGGCATGGAAGAAAGAAGCGGGCGACTTTGCGAGCCGCGAAGGGCCGATTTGAAATATTGAACAGGCGCCCGCGCCCCACAAGAATCAGATGGAGGCTTGGCTGACATCGATGCGGAAGAGGAGAAACGGCTTCGACCGGTCCCCGGGATCCGCAGGTGTTGAGCGGGGCGGGCCGCCGCGCTGATTTTGTCAGCGCGCGCTCGCAGCTCATCGCTTTTCGACTTTGCGACTCCCCGACGGCATTTAGAGCGCCACGTCGAGCCGCCGTCGGTCGCGCAGTTGAGGCCCAAAAGTCACGTCATCCCGTAGCTTGAACCGGGCCGTCCCTTTCCCCGCAGAACCACGAGTTTGTGGACGAGCAGACGTTCCAGGCCAACTGCATGGAGATCTCGGTGATCAAAAGGTCGGGCTCCCGCACGTCGTCGCCGTCGTCGTCGCCGTCGCCGCCGCGCGGCCTGGGCTCGTGCTGCTCGCGGCGCCACCGGAAGAAGAACGGCTTCGGCCTGCCGAGCGCCAACAACCAGGAGCTGAGCACCATCCGGATCCCCGAGAGGCCCGTGGCCAACAGGTAGCCCTTCAGCGCTCTCCTTTTATCCTCACTCTGCATGATGTCGGGCCTCCAAGATGGCGGCCCGTCGCCCACCGAAAGATGGGCCGCCTGCCGGGATAACGTCGCTACTTTTCTCTCTCGTCCTTTACACGGGCACAAACACGCCGACGTTTCGTGGGGACAATCGTATCAAAGACAATCTTTCCAAAACCCCTTTTTCGGTCGCGCCGTCAGACGAGCCGATCAATACGGTTCCGTGTCTCGGACCTCGGCCGCACGACAAGTCCGAATCGTCGCGTGCTACGCAAGGCCGTCGTGAACGAGCAGCTGTCAAAAAGTCACGTCGACGGAGGCGTCATTTGCCCTCATTGCGTGAACATGCTCTCGGGCGTGTATCCGCTCGTCGCCTTTGTGCCGCTTTTTCGTTGGTGGAGCCCCGTGGTCGGCTCGCTCACTCGTGTGTTTGTCGCCGCGCTTGTCTTTTGCCAGCCGCTCCAGCCTGAACGCCAAATTGGACGAGACGATGCCCTTGAAATGCGACGAGGCTTTCGGCGGCCCCCGCATGGTCAGCCTGGCCGCCCCTCCGCCCACCTCGCCGGAGGGCGACGCCTCGTCCGCCGCCGCCCCGGCGTACTCTCGGAGCAACATTGTGCGTGTCTCGGCCTTGTAGACGCCCCCCCCCCCCTACCCCCCCGTGTTTCAAGGAGACGACGGGACCAGCGAGCATGAACCTGCCACCCGTCACCCCGGAGGAATTTGTTCCCGAGTGGTGATCTCATCTGATGTCAAACTCTCTCTCGGGAGGGAATGAGTCAGCGTGGATGACGACGACAGTGACCAGCACATCTTGTCCCATGCAGCACAACACATTGTTGCCACCGCGTACGGAGAAATTCTTGATTTTGGAATGTCTTTGTTGCGGTGGATTTTTTTTTCTTTTCTGGGGGGGGTCCTTTGATGACAAAGCACAGCGCACTCGTTGAATTCCCTCCCTGCGAAGGCCATTCGTTATCAATAGCGGTACCTTGACTTCCAAGTGATGAGGCCTCACTTGGTTGACGTTTTGCTTTGTTTTTTTTTCTTGCTTTTTGTGGGCCGAGATTCGACTGTGACATTTTGAGAAGCGCGAGCATTCAAGTGACACATCGAAAATGTCCTTATTTGGGGCAATAAAAACCGCATGCTTTTCCCCCATTGAACGCGATTTTAGATTGAAAGCAAATCTCGGCTATTTGGTGCACGCAATCATCGCGCGCCGCGTTAAGTTGAAATCAATCAAGACATTCTTCTTTTGTGAGCCGCCGCGTTCCATCGGCGGTGAGCTACTTGTGGAACGGACCCACGGGCTACTCATGTTGACTAACTCGTACCCGCTGGGAGCATTTTCTTCTTTTCGTGAGCCCAGCAAAAAGGCGGCCGTGTGTTTTTTGTCTTGCTGATGTTCATTTGCCCATCGAGGTCATTTTGCATCCTCGGTCGGCATGAAGCCAACAGACTCCGGTGAGGCGGCAAAACATTTTGCCATTTAAATCGCCAACGGCGCGCCAGTTTTCGCCACGCCGGGCCTGGCGGCGAGTAGCGCAAACTCACGAATACCGCAGCACTTTTTATTGCCATGGAAAAAAAGCAATAATCATGCAAACGCAAAGACGTGGGAGATCGGATTCAAAAGAAAAACCAAAACGGTTGAGTTTGCAAATGTCGAAGCGCAAATATGCGGGGGGGGTCGGCTGGAAATCCAAAGCGCGTTTGAGTCAGTCGAAGCGTTTCCGAATACGTTTCAAGCAGGTGCTGGCGCGATTCTAGTTTTCATTTGGTCTCTGTAGCGCGGGTGGCTGCGCGAGGTCTCGTCCGGTAAGCCGAGGTACCGCTCGAGGCATCCCATCCGTTTGGAACGGTTTCTCGCGCCTCCAGCCGGCGCTCTTGTAAACTGACAGAGCGCGCGTCCAGGGAGTCAAACTTGCTGTGACCAACACGGACTCGTCCGGTCCTCGTTCGCATCCTGACGTCGTTACTTGTGATGGGAAGGAGAAAAAAAATGTTTAAATGCGCACGCAAACGTGCGAGAGCCACCGCCGCAAATACGAGCGGCGGGCAGAAGAAAAGCCAGCCGGCGAGCCTTTGGAAGCAGCTGCAAAGAGATGGCGGGACTCGGTCGGTCCACTTCACCATTTTGTCGACTTTTTCGTGTTGTAAATATCGACGGGACTTGACCCATCGGGAAGTCGGATCCTCTTCTTTCTAGATCGACTTTGCTTCGGACAGTGGTCGGCGTTCTCTTTTTTTGTCCGTCCGTGCGCTTGGATGAAGCATCTGCATGCTGTCATTGCAAAATTCTGTTGGATTAAAGTTGGTCTGCGCTTCCTGCGGGCGGCTCGTCTGTCCAAGGAAATCGAGACGCTCTCGCGCACTTTTACCGCCGCGGCCGACGGTCGGTCGGTGCCACCCGCCAAGCGTGAGCCGGCGTGCCGTTCGGGATGTCCTTCGATCGGGCCCGCTGACAACACGTGGCCAGAAGCCTCCGCCGACGAGCCCGAAGGTCGGCGGCACGGAACGAGGCCCCAGAGGGCCGCTCGTTCCACCCAAAATAATGACGAGGCGCTGCGGGCGAACGCGTTTGGACCCGAGCGGCCCAGCGGGCGGCGCGGGTCTCTGGACAGGCCCGCAACTGCTTACGTCGATCCCGGGGCTCTTTTTTTTTTTTTCTTCCGTTCGGCGGCCGTAA